CGAGGGTGCTCCGACCCGAGGGTATTCTCTCTTACTTCCCACACTTTACGATGCAGCCGTTCAGCTTCTCTGTATTTGCCCATGGTTCTCAAAACCTCTGCAAGATTATTCATCGATGTCAACGTCAGAGGGTGCTCTGGTCCAAGAGTCATTTCTCGGGTTTCCAACACTCTACGATGCAGCTCTTCAGCTTCATTGTAGTTGCCCATACTTCTCAGCACCTCAGCAAGATTGTTCATCGATGTCAATGTACGAGGCTGTTCGGGCCCATGAGTACGCTCTCTTGCCTCCAAGACTGCACGATGCAACTGCTCAGCTTCACTGAAGTTGCCCTGTTGTCTCAAGACCTCTGCAAGATTGTTCATGCAGGTCAACGTACCAGGATCTTCAAGGCCGAAGGTCCCCTTGGATTCCTTCAGCATCTTCAGCTGCGTTCTGTGCAGCTGCTCTGCTTCAGCATAGTTGCGCAGTTTTTTTGAGCACCAATGCCAGCTCGTTCATCGAGGCCAAGGTAAGGGGATGTCCAGGACCCAGATTATCTTCTGGGGCTCGGGCTTCAATCACTCTTCGGTGCACTTGTTCAGCTTCTGAATAGCTACCCATACTGTCTAGGACTACTGCAAAGCTGTTCATGGATTTGCAGGTCCGCGGATGCTCCGGACCTAGAGCCTCGACCGAATTCTCTACCACTCGACGATAAAGCTCTTCAGATTCACTGAAGCGGCCCAAGCTTCTCAGCACCTCTGCCAGTTGTTCCATCGCCACCAAGGTGTGCGGATGGTCCGGCCCTAAGCTCCGGTCCAAGGCTTCCAGCTTCTCTCGGTGCTGTTGTTCCAGCTTCTGGAGCGGAGGATGGAGCAAACCATTGAGGAACTCTCGGAATCGCACTGGCCATGCTAGGGGGGAAATGCAAGGGCAGCACCATTGCACCATGGCGCTAAAGCGCAGCCTGTGGAAAAGAACCTGGAGTCATCTGGTGTCTTTGTGACTTGAGGGCACACCTTGACAAAGCCACCCTTTTTCACTCGCGAAAGCAAGCGAGTTCGGATTTAGGTCTTTTATCCCCTCCACCTAGAGGATTCGGGTCAGACCGGAATCCATCTTCTGTCTTTGGACCAAACGAATGCAACATCATGCAACACTCCACTTTTATCTTTTGAGGTCGTCTTCATGTGAGGTCCTCTAACCGCAGTCAGGTTCCGTCTCAAAGCCAAGGTCGGCCGTGCGTGACTCCGCACAAGAAGTCACAAGGCATCAAGTTGGGAGTCCTTGTTCCGTTCGGTTCGCGATGCCCGAAATGCTCCGTTCGTAGCGTCCGAACGCTCCGTTCGTAGTAAGGCCAGGAGCCCCGAACGTAGCTTCTTGTAGTAGCGATGCTCTTCAAGGTTCCCACATGATTGTGAGTGAATGATGCAACACTGGAGGTGTTCAATATCTGAAACGCTCCTGTCTGGGGGTCCAAGGGTGAGCGGGGCATGTTTGTTGTGTGACCTGGTTCGAGGGTCCATGACATCGAAAGTGAGTTCTGTCCACCCATTGAAACTTGTACGGCTATGTTGAAACCTCGGCCTTACACTGGAATCATCATGCCAAGCGGAAAAAAACGGCCTCCTTTTTCCCCAAACAAACAGGCTGACTGGTGCTTAGTAGGGAATAAGGGAATGAGCCCCCAATAGAGATTCTGGATCCAGCCACATCCAGCCACCCTCATTCCCTGCGAGTCGCACCAGTCAGCAGGTGTCTTTCCACATGCCATGACTATTTCTGCTTATGCCTTTCCTGCATGACTAGCGAGACCCGACTCCCCAACCCGCCAACCCGTGCGTCTGGGATCCATGTGAGGCGATCGAGGATTGTCCTCCAACGGCGACAAGCCATCGATTCCACTACACGCACTAGTACACTCGATCCCACCCAAATAGCGAATATGTTTTCCATTGAGATCCCGCAAACCCTTCACTGATTCACAACGAAACCCGTCTCCGAGAACCGGGACCGGGTCATCGCGGGTCTCTTCGGTGAAGGTCGTGTCAGATCACCCGGGTCATCCCGAGCCTCTTCGGGATCACATCGTCCACGCGAGGTCGATCACGCGAGGTCGGTCGCCGGGATGTCAGATGATCTGCGTTGTACAAGTACGAGCGAAGATGTTGTTGGAGGTTGTTGATATGTAGAGCTGGAGAAACTCCACGGTTTGTCCTGAACACTTTTAGAGAACCTGATAGTGCAGCTTGCAAGCTTGGACTGAGAGTAGCTTCTCTGCGAAGATGGAGAACATGACATTTTCCATTTTTACATGTTTGCATGGCTGAATCCATTTTTTGGGATGCCTTTTTTTGTCTGACCCACAACCTTTGGTTTTCTTTTCTGAATCTTTCTTTTCTGAACCTTTCTTTTTGACCAACAACCTCTCTTTTTTGACCCACGACCCTTCTCCTTTCTTTGTGACCAACAACCCTTTTTTTAACGCACGACCCTTCGTGTTTCCGGGTGGTAGATTTGGAGACAACGTTTTTTTTAATGTCGACCATGCTCCAGAAACCATCAAAGACCTTGGGCGGGCCAACCTTTTTTTTGGACAACTCTTGAGTTCTTCCCATGATTCTGCGGCAGGTTTTTCCTCTGGAAATTGGCACAGTTTCTGCTGGACGCACAGCAACCAAGTGGTGTGAGCCACGCAAGGTTTCTTGCAATGGAGTATGTGAGCATGGGCTGTTGACGATGGCGAGTCTGAAGTAGTGTCAGGTCCGAACATTTGACAAGTGAACAAAGCTTTTGCCGGGGAGCGTTGCGAAGGGTTCTTTTGTAGAAATGGAACTATCTTTCTGGCATAGAGCTTCACTTCACATGCAGGCTAGCAGCTACATTTCGAGCTTGCACGCGTTCTACCAGACACTCAGGACCTATACAGCGGCATTTGTATGTATCCTACAAGTACATCTGCAACTTGCGTGCGTGGTCTTCTAAACCTGCTGCTACGTACGGAGGTGGACATTCATTTGCAAGTTATACAGCTGCAGCTGTATGTATGCTACAATAGGTGTGCTAGAAGCACATTTGCAGCTTGCAGGTATGGTTGTGTAGAGCTGCTGCGACGCTAGCATTGCTTTGGTGCTGGGATCTTGCTTTGGTGAGTTGCTTCGGCGCTGGGATCTTGCGTGGGTGGGTTGCTTTGGTGCTGGATCTTGCTTGGGCAACTTTCGCTGGGGTGTTGCTTCAGTAAACACATAAGCAAAAGCAAGCATCTGTTAAATTAAAACAAAGAGTAAAACATATGTTTGTTCGCGCGTGCGTGATCTATCTCGTCTTTCTTAGCCGGGGGCTGGCCGGACAGGGCATGCGAAACGTGACTGGAGATCGCCCATTTGGTTATGTCATACTTGTTTGCTGAAAAAATACAAATACGGTAAAAAGAGGAGACATACAAAATAGACCAGCAGACAAGAAGAGAGTAGAAGAATGTAATTAAGGAAGAGAAAAGGACACAGGGGGAGAAGATGAGAAGGAGATACGGAGAGGATAGGATGAGGAGAGCACGAGAGAAGGAAAGAAGGAGACATGGAGAAAAGGACAACAAAGAGTTGAGCACACGCTCACACACGGAACCAAACTCTCTGTTACTTGTAACCTCACTTCCTGCCTGGCTTTTGGCTCATGCGGCGCTCAACGCACTCACCCGTTCCGGGGGAGAGAAGTGGCTTGTGGCCCCACGTCTGAACTTCATGGTTGCCCTCACAGCTGCATATCATTATTCGGCACATGACTTCATATGACTTCACATCTGCATGTCTTTCAATCTATGTCTTGTCATATCACCGCAACACGTTTCACTAGCATTTCTTTTCGCTTTCCCTCTAAGCTCAACACCCCAGCGTGATTCTTCAAACTTGAGTTTCTGCTCTCTCTACTCACTCTCCATCTCCAAAGAATAGTTTTGGGTCAAAAAAGAAGGGTTGTGGGTCAAAAAGAAAGTCAAATTAGACAGATTAGGTGGTCAGAAAAAAACGTGTGTGGGTCAAAAAAAGGGTATGGTGGTCCAAAAAAAATCAAAAAAGAGGGGAGTCCCCCTTCTTTTGGGTTCAGCCCAAACGCCCAGTCTTTGTTTTCTTTCAATAGAGACACATGTTACAAACCTGCTGGGAAGAGTTCCTGGACACTGCTTGGAACCAGGTCCCACTCGGGCCTGGCCGGATCGGAGACTTGGCCCTTCAGCTGCTTTGCGCTGCTTTGCCCCTTCTCACCTCGAGAGCAGCTCGGCGGTGCGGCATCGCTAGGAACGTAGCTTCTTTCTACTAAGTAGTAATGGCCTGGAAACTAGTAGCTTCTTGCTACTACCAGTAATGGCCTCCACCCTAGTAGCGATGGCCTGCCACCGGGCCTCGCTTCTAGTGCCTGGGTCCCGGTGGGTGCAACATGGATGAGAGAAAGTGAGTCTTTCTCAGACGTGTCTCCAAAAACGGATCCCAGAATATATATATATATATATATTATATATATCTAATATTGTTTAATGATATCTTTGCAGTCAACATATGCGAGCTATGTGGGCATGAAGTCACTGGGGTCACCGTATGTCAGCCACGCACCACCTGCAGCAGTGGCCCAAGCTCCAAGCTGCTGCCCAAAAGCACCCCCAGGACGTCCGCACAGCCGCACGGCATTCGATGGCGAAGCGGAGATGGGGCGCAAATAAAGATACACCCACTTGACAGGTCAATGGTGATGTTTACGGGTCGGATTTGGTTTGAGGCACAATCGCTTTCAATATGAACAATTGAAGAATATTGAAGCTTCATCGTTCACTATTGCATTTAATGTGCTGGGACGAGCCGTCAAGGAGTGTTCTTGTAGAATCTGAATTATTCATTCTACTGGAACATGCTTGACTTAGAACTCGTTCAGATCAATATGTTCATCATGCGCCTGTGCCAAAAGTTTCCACAACTCTCCGTCCTGTTTGCCACTCGCCCAGAAGCACCAGCTCGACATCACGCGCCCGCCTCCAGGATCGCCTCGCGCGAGGCGTTTTGACCTCCGCGGACGCTTCGAGTCATCGATGACTCTCCAGGATGGGCTCCATGGTGGTGGGTGGTCCAACCTACTAGCGATGGCCTCCAACCTGGGGGGGGGGGTTGGGGTGGGATGTTTTTTCAAATGTCTTTATTGCTCCGACTCTGGGTTCCTTGGCCATCCCCCAAATTTGCATGGGTGTGACGTGGGTGTGACCCACAAAGAGACCTCTCCAGAGGAGGAACAAGTTGTGTTAAGACAAACATATCTATAAGTTTGAAGGTCTCCCTATTCTAATGGTGCCCACCCACATCTGACTATAAGTAGATGTTTCTTTAGTAGCTTTCTGTTTTAGACAAAAAGGATATCATCCCTAGGGATCCAAGTACCTTCTCAGGAGGTGATTGGAGACACTCTTATGTAGGTTTTCAGGGTCCAAGTGCCTTCTGAGAAGGTACGACTGGATCCCTAGGGAATTGAAGTGTTGTAAGACCTCAAAAGGATCAGACGCCACCCCCCCGGAGCATGGACCTATTCAGAACTGGTCTTGAGGATCCGCTCTTGACCTACTCCAAAGTGACTGGGATAGTCTGGGTGTTGGAACCCAAACGTGAAAACGTGTGAGTGGCGCAACATGGAGTATCTACTCCATGCTCCCATCCACTTGTTCGAGGACTTGCCTAAAGTTGCCAAGAATCAATTGTTGCTAACAAGAATCCATTGATTTGTCTAAGGTTCGACCGGTGGCTTCGGGTTCTCCAGCTTCGACAGGGTGGAAGTCAATCGAGTCCGCCCTGGACTCGACGGCTCCGGCCTAATCCCTTCAACTTCTGCTCGAGGGCCTGGCAACGCTACGACGACCTTCGGCGATGACGCGACGCCGCTGAAAGGGATCGATGGTCAAGGCTTACACTCCTTGGTCTACGACCTCAGGGGGGCAGGGTACCCTTTAAACAGCAAAGAGAACAATGCAGCGAAAAAATGCCGTATACAGGCTAGTCCTTTTCAGGTAGACTTGCAATAATACACCACTTGGAACATATACCAAAGCCTAGAACGCCCTAAGTGTACAGCAACTGTCAAGCATGTCCTTCTGTTCATTCATCGAATCCTCGGCATATCCTGGCACATCTCCTGACCACGGGCAACCGTTGCCCGAACAACACACCATGCCTGGCACCCCAGAACCCTTAACACGCCGGTTCCCGGTCGACCGGAACACCACACCGGGAACCCGGTCAACCACCGACGGGTCGGCCGCACCTCCACGGTCATCGGCCGCACCTGCCGGTGCTGGTGGAGACATGTTGAAGTAGTTTCCCTCCAAAAGAGCTGCGATACACCACCACGGACAGCTACCAGCTATAGACTCTCTTTAGAATATATGCTTTTTGTGTATATAACTATAACTTCACTCAACAAACAAGAACCAAAAGGTCCCCGATCCGACCGCAGCTGCGAGCTCAAGAACAAAAAAGGTAATTCACTTCTTCTCTAAAAGATATTCACCAGAATGGTGATTCACAGGATTGACCCATCGGGGAACATCAAACAACTCACCCCTCAGTGGATCACCAGGTCTTCTGATCCACTGATCCAGTGAATCAGGGCAGTCTGACCACTGCTAGCTGGATTCACCAGGTCTTCGCTATCCACTTCTGATCCACTGATTTCGTTCTTATGGAGGCCATCGCTAGAAACGCTCGTACAGGCAACTGACTGGCAGTGCTACCCCAGACCATAAAGGCATTAGAAATCCCAATGGGGGACTAAGGCATGCTATTTGGTCCTTTTGTAGCTTGGAGGCCATTGAGACCCGCCGATCTCCGCCTCTGTGGCGGTGACCTCGGCGCGGAAGGCGGCGGCGCCCAGGTCCGGCTCCAAGCCTGGCGTGGGTTCGGCGGCCGCACCGTGCTGGTGGACGGTGTGGTTTAGCGGTGCGACGGGGGACGGTGATGGCCGCGACCGCATAGCTCCTGGTTCGTTCAGATTGGCAAGATGTGCATGTAAGTGTAAATGAAAGTTATAGTGGATGGTAAGAGATGTCGGAATATGCCGGAGAATAGTAAGATGTCCATTGAATTCTGCAGAATGACGCATCCCGGTGAAAAGCACCCCTCCAACAAGTTCCACCACTGGTACTCAGGGCGGTGACCGCTCAGCTGCTGATCTTGACCTGCCAAACGGACCTCTGACGTGAAGGGTCAAAGGACCCAAGTCGTAAGGAGAATGCATGATTCACATCCAAAGAACAAGGAAGCCAGGGCCAGGTTTTACTGCATATAGACTAGACTCATAGGGGAAACCACTTGACTGAGATGAAGTTCGGCAAATGATGGAGTATTATTCTCCGAGCCAGCTGATGGATTCCAGCCACAAAGAGCTGGTTGCTCACAGAAATCAAGTCTCTTGCCCGTCCTTAGATCCCCTGCAGGTAGTGAATTGTAGTGGGAGCCACCATAGGAGCAAATCCATTTCCATGTCACTTCAAAACGAATCTGGCGGGACAAGGCTGCCATCGCTAGTAGGTGGCTTCGGAGGCCATCGCTAGTAACTAGTAGCTTGGAAACCCATCGCTATAAGCCCGTCGGTCTCTCACCCTGACCTGGCGGTGGCGATGCAATGAGCATCGAAGCGCCGTTCACGCCGTTCCTGGCTCCGTTCCGCTGCCGCGTCCGGAAAGTCGGGACGTGGCTGATGAGAAGGAATCGGGGGGGGTTTTGTGTAAGTACAGGCGACTTGGAAAGGACAAAGTATTCATAAGAGAACTGGTATTGATAGGAAGTATCTGAAAGGCTAAGCCATCAGCAAGGACTTGATTGGCGAGTTGAAGGGGAGATTAGTTGCAGAAGAAGCAGATTGAGGATGTTGCAGTAGAAGCAAATGGGGATGGCAGCATGATCAATAAGCCTCTCTTAGTTAATCAGATGGAATCTGAACATTGATTTGGTTGTGTGGCTCGGATGAACTGGGAGGGGGGGTCTAACACCCACATACTACTTTCATTTTGGGTGAATGTTTGATCCTGTTGTGGCTCGGATTAACTAGGGAAGGTTTATTGTTCCTGGCTTGACATTGCCCAATCACCTAAATCGCAAAGCCTGGTCAGGACATCAACATATGATCCTTCTACTTGAGACTGTCTTAGAGCACCGACCATCCTCAGGAAACTGGAAGCTGAACAACTGAATTGTTCTAGGATTCCAATCTCATGCTCAAAAGGATGAACGCTACTAGGGGTTCGTGGAGGCCATCGCTCTTCCAATTCCAATCTCATGCTACATCTCAAACCTCCCCAGAGGCAAGTGGCGAGCTGCTGCGCAGGTGGCTGAACCGGATACGCTGAGGATGGTGGTGCGAAACAGGGGTGGTTGGGCCGTGGTTGGGTTTCGGAAGTGCTTCGGTCCCCAAAGGAAGACGATTCCTTGGATTTGCTTCCGGGTCACATGCCGAAAAAAGGCCATCTTCCCGACCAAAACCACAGCCAACAACTGGACTCCATTTTCTGCCATTTCCCATTTCAGTCCTCCCCAACACTTGGCCGAGATGCATCATTTGGTGTTTCACACACCCACGAACCCGCCCTCTTTCGGCCCTGTCTCTTCGTTCACGTCACTCGCAACTGGAGCCCAGCAGCCGCGAGACCGCGCGCGGTGTTTTCCTCCGGTTGGTACGGTGGGTAGTAGTTCAAATCACTGCACTCCCCTTGCACAGGACCAAGAGGAACTGATTCAGATTATCACTTTGTAGAGAAGTGAGCCAGAGATCCTGATGGCATAGCGGCATGGCCCATTGGAACGAAGATCTTCGATTCAAAGAGGGTCCACTTCCATGTGTTGACGGGAACAGGTGCGGCAACCAGACTTTTCAAACATGAGTCCAACCCGAAGAACTCCCAGCTGCACCAGTTGTTTCATTGCGGCATCTGCATCCTGAAACTCGTGACCTGGGTGAAACTCCTGTCACCAACTTCAGCACCGTGAAACTTCCAGCAGTTTTTGGATCCACCCTTTCACGAGGTCCAGACCCCTCCGATCGACGCGGCCGTTGAGTTGGAGAACGGTGCCCGTATCGACGTGGGTGCACAGCACAGGGATGCACAGATGTTGGACCTAGGTGCCTAACGTTCCTCATGAAGCATCTGGAACATGTTCCTTTTGGATCCTTTTGGAGGAAAAAGTCCGAGGGTCTAAATTCTCATCGAAGGGCATCAGCGGAGGCGCCATCAGCCGATGAGATCAATTGATCGGCGCAAAAGACCGCTTCCCCCTGGTTCCTACTAGCGATGGCCTCCAAGCCTACTAGCGATGGCCTCCGACCTAATGGCGATGGCCTCCAAGCCTACTAGCGATTTCCTCCAACCTAATAGCGAGGAACATCTTGAAACAATAAAGAGGCGACCACTCCGTTCGCTTTCAGTGGAAAAGGCCACCTCGCGCAAGCGGTCTAATATTCCCTGCAATAACATGAACCTCACTTCTTATCATACAACAGGCCTTCAAAGTGACCTTTTGAGATCCCAGAATGAGGTCACTTAGTCTCTGAAGAGGTCACTTACAGAGACTCCAAAGGTCACTGTGCCATGAATGTCCAACCGATGCCTTGGACCCATTTTCGAAGGCGCAGGTCCACTCCTCCTGGACGCTGCACGAAGTAGTGGTTTTATGTGGTTTTCAGGGGACCGTTTGGTCCGTCGTCCAAAACGGGACGAAGCAAACACTCCGATGTGAGATGACGTGCCACCGATACCACCTGAGTCCCACACCACTTGCTCCGACACAGCACTTTGGTGCTGGAACCTCAGCGAAAAGGAGTGGCGTGCCCATTGACACCTGGAAACAGTCAGACTTGTGAGATCAAAACAGTTCTTCCTGCATGGTCCTGCAGGGTCTATGCTCGATCGTTCAGGTCAGGCCACAAGGAATGGATCAACTCCCAAGTACGGTTCTAGATGTTCTAGGTCTACCTGAACAGATCCATGGCCCATCTTGGGGAGGGTCCCTGCTAGGGTCACCCACTTCTGACCATGGATCCATGGTCTTTCAGTCAGTAGGCCCAGGTCTTGGTTGGATGTTCTAGGTCTTTCAGTTAGGCCCCTCACTCTCCAACCGATCCAACTCACTCTCCTCCGATCCAACTCGGACTCCGATCGCTCCGCTCGATCCGCCCATCCGGTGCCTCAAGGTGCCGAATCGCCCCACGATCCGACTCAACTCGTTGGCTTTTTGAACTGAATCGCTAGTGTCTGCCATGCACTGGAAGCCATGCACTATGTGGTCCATCTCATCACAAATGTGGACGTCCTCGACGTAAAACGTCCAAAGCGCAGCGGGTCCGACGGATCTTTGGAGTCAGCCATCTTTCCATTTGGGATCCGTGTGGTCCCGGAATTTGGGGGACACCTGGTACTTTCCCATGAGTAGGTTGGAGATGGTTGGAGGCATCGCAATTCATCAATTAGGTTGGACTCGCTATTAATTAGGTTGGAGGTTATGGCTATTAATTAGGTTGGAGGCCAATCGCTGGTATGCTTCACCCCCAGCAGCCTCGACTCAAACCGACTCAACTCGACTCGACTCACCTGCCGAGCGTCCAAAGAGAGACTGGCAGAAGTGCCAGAGACATGAGCAAGAGTGGATTGGTCCGGGACCCCTGGCAGTGGATTCGGACGGTGGACGGTCTGGTTCCACACGCCGTTTCCGGTGGACTCGGCGGATGGGACGTCACCCGTGACCCGCAGCCGCAAAAGGAGGCGAACGGAGCGAGGATTCGATCGGCCACAGCTGAAGCACCCCGGGAATTCCATCGGATTCTATCGGGCATCGCTATGGTTCGTAGCTCAAAGCTACTGGGTCTTCCGTTGGCAATGCAAGCAATCCTGAGCTCCTTAGTGCACAGCCAGAAGACAGACTTTGGTGTGCGGTACCCGACCCCGACCCAGACACCCCACCCGCATTGAACCAGGTCTTTGGGAAGTGAAGACATTGGTGGATGGGGGTGGGAAGTAGCGATACCCTTGTTACTAGTAGCTTCTTGTTCCTAGTAGCTACTTGCTCCTAGTAGTGATGCCCTTGTCACAAATAGCGATGCCCTTTGTTCAACTTTGTTCCTGGTAGCTTCTTGTTATTAGTAGTTGTGCCAGGAGCTACTAGCAGCGTCCTTGCTCCGTTCGTAGCGATGCTCTTGTTTGGTTCAAGTCTCACGTTCCCTAAACGACATGGATGACACAGGCATCTCCGTGCCTTCAAAATCATGTGCCCCAGGCGACTCACTTGATTAATCTTGCAACGCTGATCAGATTCAACCTCTCCTTCTAACTCTCTGTACTGCTTCCGAATACTACAGTTTCGACTTAGGCACTTCCAATACATTGGCAAATTGAACTCTGAAGGCCGTACCTCCTCAGTGTCTCTCCACCAAAGCTGAAAGCGTCTAACGTGGCGACCGTCTGTCTTGACCCGGTGATCCACACGAACGTTGAACCGTGGAACGTCTCCGTGTCTACCCGTGTGACATGAGACATCGGCCATACGGTTTGGTCCGACCGTAGACGTTCCAAGAGAGGTTTCTTGAGACCAGAGGTTTCTTCGGACCCCAAACGTCTGTGGTACGGATGCGCGATAGATTGTCTAGGGGCTGTTCAACCTCTCTTGGTTCCCTATCGCGACACGGACAACGATCAGCTCAGCTCCGACCGGGCCTGACTCGATTTCTCTTCCGCGGCCGCCATGACTGCGATCCGTGCCCACAGCTTGCGATGAAGTCAAGCCCGTGCGTTGATCACATGGGACCGTGCCAGCGCGATACACGGAGATCTGGAAATCCCCAAGTTGACAAACGTGTTTTCCCAGTGAAGTGCCAGTGAAGTCACTTGAAGCTCAGATGGATGTGCATTTTGTATACACAAGTTACACAAGTGATAGGTATAAAGTAAGGTAAGCGATTTTCCACTAACCACTTCGACGTGCGCTGACGTGGGCTGCCTGAGAGGTTGTGTGTGACTCCAAGCAGTTGAGTGGATTGTGTTTCGTCGCCACCACACTGGATGAGTCAGTTTCTGATGCACATCGCCTGGTGCTGGTGATGTTGCTTCTCAATGTTGCCTGTGCGACCCGGATCCAAGCAACGGAGAATGGACAGTTCTGCTCTTGTCACAGGAGTTTGTGCTTTTGTTGTAGATTGGAAGTCATCCTGGACTATTTTGGGCATCCAACAACTTTCAAGCAGTAGTGTTGGATGTTGATTTCAAAACTGCTGAGAACCTGAGAACCTTCTTAGTACTCTTCTTAGTAGTAAAAGGATTGCTGAGAATATCTACAAAGAACCTTAGAAAGGAACATGAATAAGGACAATCTATGAAATGAACAGAATCGACAATGAATACTACAATCAATTGCAGAGGGAATCTTGCCAGGAATCCAGATTTGTTTTGGTGGTAGTTTATTCGGGGACCCTTTTTGTTTGGAGGAGGGGGGGATTCTTTTTACTGATCAAGATCCTACATTCAGAGGGAAAAGAGTCACAGCAAGATGCTATTACTTCAGTGATTGAAAGGCCCCATATGCCTAGAATCTAGAATTGCCTACCTATTCCATTCCAAAGGACTCCCCCCCCCAGAACACCGCCCAGGTAGACATGGAAGCATATGGACTATAACGGGATGGGTCAAAACACGGCCCAGGGTTTTGGTGAATGACCGTCTCGTCGGTCAATCAAGATATCCCCACAAATCCACTGCTTTTGCTGGTCATCACAGTAATTCACTGCTTTTTGCTGGTATTTTTATGGTTTTTGCTGATTCATCACACGAACGGGTCTGAATTTCCAGCCTCTTCTGCTTCCCGTCTGGCGACGGAAAACACCGTCGTCTTGCTTCCGCTGATCCCCACGGAGGTGGATGAAACCGCCAGCCCCATGGTACCGTGGTGTCTCTAAGATCTGCTTCGCAGCGGAACACACTGCAGAAGGGGGAACCCTTCTAGCTGAAACATGATAAGAACACATGTTCTAAGTATGAACATCATCCATTGGCCAACCATGTTTCCAAACTGTTCACAAGAAATGATTTCTCTGACGGTCTCAACGGTGTTTGCTCAACGAACGAACTTGACCATATTGGTGTTTCCCGACAAGGACGATGAACCCCAGTGCACCATTTGATTGTTCGCGAACCAATTGAACATGGGGTGGAGTCGCTGCTGTTAATGATGCCAGTTGCACTGGAAACGCAAACTCTCCGGCAGGTGACTTGCTGGTTAGTGGGTTCAAGTCACAGGGACGTAAGTGATGGTCAGTGGATTCAATCATGTCAAGTAAAAGGTCGAACATACAAAATATCCGATACCACCGCCCAGCTTCGCATTGGGTCGCTTGGAATCGCGTCGACCCAACTTCGGCACCCAACCACGCAATTTGACGCCGGCTTCGCGATGCAACAGGCTTCGCTACAAAGCCCACGCCTTCGACCCGACCGCTGTGAGACATCAGCATGATGAAAGCGTCTCATCCATGTGTGGGTGCATCATTCTCAGGAACAATGTTCGCTACTAGGGGCTCCTCGCCTTACTACTAGGAGCGTTCGGACGCTACGAACGGGGCTTTTGGCATTACTAGGAGCGTTCGGACGCTACGAACGGGGCTCCTGGCATTACTAGGAGCGTTTGGACGCTACGTTCGGGTCTCCAAAATCTGAACACGAAGCTAAAAATGATCCCATCTTCTGAGTGCTGCGACTCACACCCATTTTTGGGTGTCTCATCAAGTCGTACACCGCCCCGCCCCACACACGGAGGACCGGTCGGTCTAGGATTGCTCAGGGATGAGGCCTTGCTTCAATGCTTTCACCTCAGGCAATGAGGCGATTGAAAGCCTGATGAAGGCGTCATTTTCCAGGAGGTGCAGGACATCATGACATGATAGTGGTCCCTCCGGGTCCCTCATCGTTCTCCACGGAAGGGTAGTTGTTGGACTCCTATGCCACGGTTTCGACTCCATGGTTTCTACATGGATGCGAGAAGTGCGAACGGTGTGGGGTTGGAGAACGTCCCGTGGAACCCAAGGTGTGTAGCTTGGGTGTCTTTTGTTGAATGAAGAACTAGTAGTAAGAAGATGTAAGAAGCTATTAAGTTGGAGGCCATCGCTAGTAGGTTGGAGGCTAGTAATGTACATAACTGTTTTGAGGTAACAGCACGCCAAAACATCGCAAAACTGGTGGGTGCAACCCCCAAGGTATACTAACTAATGTGACGAATAAAGTCGCATCCAGCAGTAATCATAGATTGCAGTACCCATACACTCCATGGGACTGCCAGGACGGACTGCCGCCCCAGAAAGACCCCCCTTTTTCCACCACCCCTGGCCTGATCGGCCAATACGGTAGTCCCATGGAGCGTTTGCAGTATGTCGTGGTGTTCCATTCCATCCACAGTCCCTGTCTTGTCCAGCCAGCCCACCACATCAACCACGGTGTCGGAGTCTCCATGTTCCTGCGGCACAGGGACAGCACAGGAAGGGCACTGGCAGGTATTCTTCTTTGCTTTTCTTACCACATGAGCCGGAGGCCTACCTATGCTACTAGTAGCTCCTGGCATTACTACTAGGAACAAGAAGCTACTAGTAACAAAGGGCATCGCTACTGGTAACAAGGGGATTGCTACTAGGAGGAAGGACATGCAACCATGCAACCATGCATATTTTGGTGACGTTGGCGAACCAATTGGCGGGATTTTTATGCTCTGCATCACAGGTGATGGGCCATTGCAGCAAATGGAATATCACTGACCCAATACGCCAATATCACCCAGTGTACCTCTGCAAAGGGAGGGGGGGTTGTTCGGTTGAATTGTATATCTTTTGGACGGTTTGGAATGATCTGGGTGATGATTTTTGGATGCCCCAACATTGTGCTTCTTCTTTCGAATTTCTAGCATCGAACTCAATCCCCGCTGGAGAGCAGGACAAGAAATCCGCAGCGGCCCACTCATCAGCCGTCGAGATGGTTCGGTGGCCCAGCGCCATCGCTTCTGCAAGGGTTCCTTGATGTAGTACTTGTTGCCGTAGGTGTTTTGCACCTGCCTGGGAGTTTGGGAACTCTCAGCCCCCTGTTGCCTTGGATCAAATGCCTAAGGATTCACCAGCAAAACTAGCGGTGAGGGTTTGAGAACAACGTTCGGAGAGAGGTATACTGGTATACTTTCTAAATCCATTGGAACAAACATACGTAAAACACACGTTTTGAGACATTGTCAAATCAGTTTCGTTGGGTTTACCTGCTCCAACGGCAATGTTTTTTTTTATGTGTTTTGGAGAATCTTGTTCGCAAGGAACAAGTTCTTTGCATTCCCTCCTCGGGAGACTCCCACACTCTGATGGCCTCCAACCTATATAGACAAAAGCAAAGAAAATAACCTAATATAAAATTAACAAACCCAGAAGCAATGGCCTCCTCCCTACTAGCGATGGCCTCCAACCTAGAAGCGATGGGCTTCAAAAAGAGAAGCAAGCAAACACATAACTGAACTCTTCACCAATTGGGTTTGCAATCCCAGCTGTTCACCCTAGCCAATCCAACAGCTCCAGGTTAAACCCAGGTTACAAACACATCTCCAAGTGAAATCATCATCCAAGTCTATTGATACTTCGATCAGGTGGTGCGTGTTATATCATGTCATATCTAACTGCCCATAACTGGCCATAACACAAATCAAGTGTTTCTCAGCTCATTCTTGTCAAGTGATTATCACTGAACATCAATCCTTCAAGACTGCTAGTTTCAGCGTCGTGTCCCACCGCCACTCCGTCGTGTCCAACCGCCATGGGGCTTCCCAGGCCTCCAATAGCTTAAAGGCTTCCTCAACGCAAAGAGGTCCCTTCTCTTCTCAGGATCTCTGGAGTTTCCAGGGTTCTTCAGATGATGCACTTTGATTCAGCAACGACATCGTTTTCACCAGCTTTTCCCATCCCCCAGGTCTTCCGAGTGGGTTCTTGGACGGAAAGGACATCTTTTTGAGGGGGGGGGTCTATAAAACCACTCGAACTGGGCGGTGCTGCTCAATTTTGATGATTGCTTCGTGTTACAGTGTTGGGGGGAATGAGGGTTGCTTTTAGGGGTGTCTTCTGGTGATAATCATCCTAACGTGTCCTGAAAGGCTGTGCAAGAAACCTCTGCTGAGCGTGGACGTCCACGTGGAATGCAACATTTTAAAGACCTGGACGCATCACTCAACGAATTCTTGATTGACTCGAAGCTAAAGCTTGGGCCCTATCAGCAACTTACCCAGGTTGCACCTGAACCAAACAAACCAAAGTTCAGCTTGTCCTGTCGTTCAGATCGACCTGATTCCTGTCTCATCCAGAGCGCCCAAAGCATTTTTAGCCTAGAAACTTCTGTAGGCATCAATTCCGTCTGGTCCGTATGGTTCTTTGGAGGTAGAATCGCTCTTAGGTTGGAGGCCATCGCTCTTAGGTTTCCCTAGCTTCTATAGTTCTTTGGAGGTATACAGTAGTTCGTTTGCATCGCTCCCACGTAGGTCCAACGACATGGAGGACAACATGGAAGACGACGCGCACGAAACGGTGTTCTGTGCGCAGTCGGCCATTCTTCAGAAAGCGCAAGGTTCCAAAGATATCTCATGATCACCAATGATCACCTAACAGTCGCTAACATCCAAAAGAGCTGCCCTTGGCACTCCATTGAATCGCACGAGAAAGGAGCCCCAAACCGAACCGCATCCCAAACGAAACGGCCCCAACGAACCGGAACCGGTTCGAACCGCTACGTCACCGCTTCGCTCCACTGACTGACTGCTGACAGGTCTCATCAGTTCCACTTCTTGCCCAGCATTGAAGTTCACCACGGCCGTCTCACCCAGTCCACCCGTGTCGTGCACGTAGATCACCTGTGTCTCACGCGGTCTCGGCATCGCGAGCGATCGGAACGGGGCGAAACGGGCGAACGAAGCGACGAAGGGAGCGAGGACGCGACGAGTTTCTTCTTTTTCCACCTTTGGGGATGGATGGCGACATCTGGAAAGCATGAAGAATCATAATTGATCTGTGCTGGGTTTATTAGAAAAAGCCCAGTGGATGATGATTAGTATTACTGCCTTCTTCAAACATAGTGATTGCATACTTACAGGTAACAGGACAGACCCAATATATGTCTGTTGTTGTTGGTGTGACATCATAGACCTCATACCCATCCTGCTGTCTTGAAGCCTGAGGCCCTCTGCATCCGATCGGTAGTAGTAGTAGTAGCTTCTTAAGCTTGCTAGCTTACCTCGTTACTTCCTTCCTTCCTTACTTGCTTATGTCAACCATTTCTTCTAGGTTGGAGGCCGCTACTAGGGTGGAGGCCATTGCTCTTAGGCTGCAGGCTCTTCAGTTGAAGGACTGACGGCCCACTGTTCGCCTCACCGCCGACCGGCCCACTCCGACGCCTAACCCATCGGCACGCGACGTCCGACCGGGCCGACCGGGTCGACCGGGACCCGACGTCCGACGTCCGGTTCTGAAAAAGGAGGAGGTACCAAGCCGAAGCAACCGGAGGAAGACTGGGGAAACCCACTTCGTGTTAGCTTAGGCGTTATTAACCTTATGAGTGTCTGAAACATGTTCCATGCCCAAACTGTTGGAGTTCCAAAACTGGCGTCGCCAGCTTGGATGGGGAATGCCATTTAAGAGTTCGGTTGATCACGTGGACTCACGAGCCCAAGGAAAACATCTTCCGACATCATCCCCATGCCCCCCCACACCAAGGGGCTGTGCGAGCATCAGGCTTCCAATAGTCCTTGATCGCCAGTCCTCGAGCGTCGGGCGGCCGCAGTGCACCTGGTGTTTCTTCTTTTGGTCGACTCTGCCAGTGCTCTTCACAGTCAGGTCCCCAGCTGAAACATGGAAAGACACGAAGTAGCTCGAAGTCACATGACGCCGCCATAACAGCGGTCTCCTCTGCGTGGAAGTTCCAGTTGCGCCCAATGCACCCACCATTGACGGAATTTGCTTGGGGGGCTCTTTACAAGCGCATGAGACAACCTTTTGGCTTCCGCATGGGCAAAAGCGAACCAAAGTTCAAACAATTTGCTTTGCACAACAAACAACAGCCGTTGATCCAAACACTTCGAAAGCTGCGCTTCGCTCCTCAAACCCTCCCGTCTGGCACTCGCGCTGTCTGACCGCGCGTGACAGGCGTGTCGCTCTCGCGTCTCCTGGCGTGTTGGGGAACGTCTGCGTGAGCACACGCAAGCGAACCTCTGCGGAGAACGTCGTGGGTCTTGCGACGAGATGGGCGGAGAAAGCAGCAGGCATGGCTAAATGCTTCCTGGCTCGTGAAACAAACTGTGGCACGGCAGTCGGTTCTGGGGGCGAATGCAACTTTGGTGCAAGTTCGACATAAACGACTTCATGCTCTACTCGTGCCTTGCGTATCATTCTGCATCCTCGCGCCAGTGAAACCACTCATCCTCACACCAATCCTGCAACTTGCCCATCCATCGCAACTCACCCTCATGCCCCATACTTGGAAACACTTCGTTAAGGACGGACGTAGCAGAATTGATCTATATAGAACCGCACTTTTCGAGTTTGGGACCGCTCTGTTTCCAAAGCGGCCAGGCCATGCTTCGATACAATTGAGGCAAAGCGAATCCATCCATGCTGTCTCACGGAAGAAGAGGGCCAGACAGCTGGTGAATACAAAAGACTCTGTCCGTTCACGAGTCCAATGGCTTCCTTGCTACAGCAGAAGCTGAAGTCTTGTAGTCCCTCGCGTGTGTTTGACACCCAGGTCCTCTCACGGACTTCTGCTCCAATGCAAGGAAATCGAAACTCGCGGGGGAGACAACTGGAAGCCCAATGGATTTCTCCGCGATCTGTGTGGAGTCTTACGCCTTTGCGATCCAAGGGAGTTGGTTTTTGTGTGGCCAAGACTGGCGAAAGTCACTTCAACATCTTTTTTCAATGTGCGTTCGAACCTCTCATGGTACAGAACATCAGGAACATCTGATTTGAAAGTATAGGACTACCGCGGATGCTACCCGTCACCTTCTCTCACAACCTCGCGATGTTTCACCACCTCTCGTCGCCGAACACGAAAGCACGACCACCGCGGCGTCCGTCACCACCGCACCGCACCTGGGCAGTCTTCTCGATCTCCGCGATGTCGGCGGCGAGCTCGCGCTCTTGGCTCGGTGTGAGGATCCTCGACGGAGGTAGACGCGGATCGGTCCCAAGTGACGTCGACCGCAACGAGTGACGGGGACGGTTAGACGGCCAGTCGAGCTCCCATAGGGAGATCCCGTACGCAAGTCCGACAGGGCGAGAGATTTGGCATCTTTTAGGAGACCGAACAAAGGGTATACGACAAAAGACCTATTGATTGAGTGGACCAGGAATCCAATCTCTTTCTTGGAGATCTATTTTGATCTGGAGTGACGAAGTACCTGTGTAGCTGCAGTTGTGTTGGATGCTTTCACTGCGACTAATCGAGTCCCACTCTGACTATGTATCCACCGGCCCGGGTCGCAACATACACGCTTTCTCGGAAGCCTGGAAGCAGCAAACGAGCACTGGTGATGACATGTACGTCCAAACGAACATACCCAAACACAAACGCGCCAATCACAACCTTCCGGAGCACGAGCATCGCAACATCACATAGCAGGAATTCCCCCCTTCACCTCAGAAGTGTTCCATGAAGGACCCAAGTTCTACAACCCATCTCTTCATCCATCCAAGCCCTACAATCATCTGGAATTGATGATGGTCCAGTGGTCCACGATCCAAGAGCAATCCATCTCTAAGATGGCCTCCGCCCATACCCCTTCTTGGGACCATTCCGCAGCGAAATCGACGATCTCTCCCACCACCGCACCGTGGAGACGCGCCTCGCCACGTCCCGGCCACCGAAACCCCCCCTGGCGGAACGACAACGAAAGCCCCCCTCCTGGCCACGTCGATCACCGGTGTGGAGGCGCCATCGGTCTTGGGGAGCAGTTCCGGGCGATTCACGCCTGGCCGCGCGGCCGCGCCAACGGAACGGTGCGCCGGCTGCCGTTCCGGGAGCAGTTGTGCTCGGTTGACGGTGTTTGGATCGGCGTTATGGCGTCAGATTGATGGTTACATTCGATGGAAATTGAGGAGCTCACCCATGGACTGGCCTCACGAATAACAATACATGTACCTGGAACCCAACTGACCTCTGTTTTGATAGGAAAAGGCCATATTTTGAGTGGTTGGTGGTCCAAAATAGAGGTCATTCAGGTTCTAGGTATATATTAACCCAGTGGATCCCAGTGGATCCACAAGTACGAAGGAACCAGGGGCCCTTCGGAACCGGTCGGACTGGTTTTAGTCGTTGCCTGGAACCACTGCACTGGGACTCCCAGCGAGCTCTCGTGGGTTGCCTGGATGCCATGGGTAAGACATATTCATTCAGGAATCGTGAGCTGTGGAGACCTTCAGCAGGCCCATCCTCACTAGGAGGAATGTCACCAGTGGGTGAATAAGGGTCGACCGAGTCTTTCCCAGAGATCGGTGAGGATGTTCTGCTCGAAGTTGCAGTGAACACGAGCAAGAACTGAATGTTGGATAGACGGGACGCCTCTGGGTGAAAGGCCTTCAGCCTTCTGCCCTCCGAAGCCCGCTTTCTCCGCTGCTAGGCTGGAGGCCATCACTATAGTAGGTTGGAAATGAACTTATAAACTAAAGAGTGGCCATCACTATAGTAGGTTGGCAATTACTAGTAGGTTGGAGGCTATCGCTGGGTTGGACATTAAGTTCAATAGAGGAACTGGGATGAGAAATAACATATAGTGATTAAGGGTTTTGCTTTCTATATTAACCCACTATATTAGTTATCACTATAGTAGGTTAGAAATTAAGCTAAACTAAAGAGGATTGTTAAACCACTTAAGTTGTTTTTGCTTTCTCCCTTTTCACCGCCGGCCTTCGGGTCTCCGCGCCGCGGCGGGAGAAGAAGCGTCGAGTCCCGCCGACGCGAGGAGTCCCGCCTCGGGCGGTGCATCGGTCTGGCCTACGCATGAAATAGAGCTACTAGGAACAAGTGCATCGCTTCTAGTAACAAGTGCCTTACTAGTAGTAACAAGAAGCTATTAGAAACAAGTGCCTTACTACTAGGAGCAAGAAGCTACTAGCTACACTCTGTCGAACACATCACATGGAAGTGGAAAACCGCCTTTGTAGAGGACAGTAGTCTTCTAGGGCCCCATTTTCCACTTAGTGAGTCAGAGGGTATATGAACTCCATAGAGGCAGGAAACTAGGCAGAATACGAGAGCTATGAACTCTATATACAGGCAGGAATTGACCTTCAAATCTTGAGATATCTTGAGTCGAGGCTTTTCAGAGATTTCCTGATGTCCTTCTACCATGCGATCAGGGTTTGACCGTGCTTTGACCTGTCCGTGACCGCATATCCCTTAAGACCAACTCCCGGATCTGGACGTGAGCAACGATGGGAAAGGATCAACAAGTCCTCTGTCAGACAAAAGAAGGACCAACACCAGAGCGGCTACCACCGGAAACATTAGGGGAACGCCTTCTAATCACGAAATGTTCAGAATGAAAGACTTGTCCACAAATATCTGATTATAGAATATGATAGATATCCATCAACAAAAACAAAACTGTCTTCGTTTTTCAGATCATCATAGCCAGATCGTGTTCCCACAGGCCGCCGAGCCAAAGAGAGCACGCCCCGGCGCGGAATCCTGGGTGTACCGATCTGAAACGATGGGCGTCTCGACGGGTTGAGATGGGTTCGGGGGCTCCCTGGAAAGGCCTCGGGATCCAAACCCAGGTCTCCTTGGGGTCTTGGAGAACATGACCTACTCCACTAGGAATCATTGACCCTCCAGTTGCGTCAAACAATAGATTGGCGTCAACACCATGCAGTTCTTGAGATTCGAACGATCCTTAGAGTGGGGTGGCCGCCGTGGACTCCAACCAAAGACCCGCGATGGGTGAGAAGTCAGAGGATGAGGAGTGTGCAAGTATCAATCTCTATCTGGTGTGACTCCGGTGTGACACGACCTCTTCGATCGGTCCATTGTGAGGGATGACATCCCAAGCCGGTCAAAAGAAACCAACACGCCGCTAGAAACGAAACAAACCTGCATAATTATTAAGTTGTGTGAGTATACATGCCTGGAACCCATTTGACTGTGTCTTGATAGGAAGAGACCATTATTTGGGTGGTTGGTGGTCCAAAATAGAGGTCATTCAGAAATTCCGGTTCTAGGTAGATTCTATTCAACGCTCTTGTTCAATGACCTGACCTTAACATTCCACCACAATTCTTCCACCTCTTAGTTTCCTTCAAGCTCACCGCTTGATGTCCTTATACCTGGAACCTGAGCTCGACCTCTGGACCACCAACCACCCAAAATATGGTCTGAACTTCCTATCAAAACAGAGGTCATGTCTCGGTTCCAGGCATGTACACTCACACGCCATGTCTTTTGCTAGGGAAAACCCCGGCTTTTTGATGGTTCACTGAGGGCCCCTCCGTACCTCCACGGTTTCCAATCGTACCGTACTGTGGCACAAACCGTGGCCGCGGCACCGAATTCCAGAGATGTCAGTCTAGCACACACAGCCGTTCTCAAGTCCCACAGCTGCATGGAAGTTGTTGGCTGAAGGATTTGCACAATCTGAAGGCATCCTTGCTCCGTTCGTAGCGATGCCCTTTGCTCCTAATTAGTAGCTTCTTGTTACTATTTCAGAATCAATGGGATCCTCCTCGCGAGCCCGGCGCTTGCTGATTAGATCTCATCAGCCCAACGTGGGGAGTTTGATCTCGAAGATGGGAGACCTCTACTCTTCCGACACTGGCTGCGCGAACTCGATGTTCTCTTCAAGTGCCAACCGTCTCTTTCATGAAGGCAATGGGCGGCCCGCAGGGGCAGTTCTTGTGGCAGCTGAGCATGTGCAACTACTTCAAGTCCTTCAAGCTCTTTTCATCCCATTGGTGTCTGTGACCTCTGGAGGCCTCCAACCTGCCCGAGGCTGACTTCAAGTGCCTTTTGGTGAGATATGGTCCATGTGCAAGTCAGTCCCCCGTTCACGGCGTTCACGAGCCCTTGGGGATACCAACGGGTGAACCGGCTGATCGGCTGATTTTTGGACCCACAAGTTTGCACTATCGGAATCACTCCCTGAAATCGTCATCGGAAGTGGAAAAAAACCACCTCTTTGTCACGCCGCGAATTAAAGACAACCACGTGGCGACGAACGCACTGGGCTGCCAGCGTGACCAAGTTCCATGTCGCCTAGTCACTGTCGTCCGGAGACCAGGCAATCACGTGGGACACTGCGAAACGATGTCGACATGGAGATGGGAACCGGTTGCCCTGGGAATTACAGAAAGATACGTCTACAATGTCTTGCTGAAATGATGTACAGGTCCACCATTGGGTTTGGCAATTCCTTCACACTCCGTCGTCCAACTTTGTGATGTCGCCGACAGGAAGTGCTACACCATGGTCTGACACAAAAGTCCCATGGTTTGGACACCCAAACCGGTCTTGAGGTGCTTTGGGTGGCTGGAGCAAATCAGCAAGCATCTCAATACATCCAACTATTCACAATCCCACCTATCAAGAGAAAGAGAGGCAGATCTCCTAAAGAACGGAGAAATGTCCAGTACACCTTGATTTCAGTGGTGTCAGTCATTTCAATGGTTTGGGTCGCTCGCATGCTGCTGGTTGCCCTGCGGTTTCTTCACTCACTGCTCTTCAAGTGGCCGCATGGCTGCCAACCAGGGCCAGTAAGGCCATTATACATAGCGAGCCTCAGTGAGGATGGAGGCAATCACTAGTAGGTTAGAGGCCGCTGCTATTGGGTTGGAGGTCATCGCTAGTAGGTTGGAGGCCATTCCAATTAGGTTGGAGGCCATTGCTATTAGGTTGGAGGCCATTGCTATTTGGTTGGAAGCCATTGCTATTAGGTTGGAGGCCATCGCTAGTAGGTTGGAGGCCATTGCTATTAGGTTGGAGGCCATCGCTAG